CCTTGGGGAAGATTGGAGATGTACCCATCCCTAATCAGTTGGTCACATTGGTTGGTGTAGACGGCACTGTGTACGAGAATAGCACTTTGACGGACAGCAACGGTTTCTACGAGTTTACAGATTTGCCCAATGGAGAATACAAAGTGACTGCTCCTGATATGGTTGATGGAGTTGGAGAGCTTGTAGACTATCCTGAAGATCTCCAAGGTGACGATGGTGTCGCCGAAGAATCAAACCGCAAGATAACTGACGCTGTCAAGGATTATACGGAGGTTAACTTCTGGTATGAAGATCTTGGTACGATTTCTGGAACAACGACAGAGGAAGACACTGGCAAGCCTATACCTCAACTTGAATGTACCCTGGAGATGCTTGACCATAGGGGACTTGTCGACACTAGTTTCCCTAAGAGAACTGTTGCTACGCTTGACAACGGCACGTACGAGTTCACTGACCTGTCTACTGGCATTTACAAGGTTATTTGCCCGAAGTTGGCTGAGAACCCAGACGAAAATTTCAATGGATCACTCAATACAGGTAAGATTGGGTGTGAAGGGGTTGGTTTCAGAATAGCTATTCATGAACGGGATATGTACAAGTTATGTAGTAGGGTATTTTGTTTGCTTAGTTTGAGTGTATCTTTTCTCTGGGATATCTACTTCGTAGTTATTTTTTTCGTACTGATTTTGGATGCTTGTATTGCTCATTTGATTCCCAGGTCCCACTGATACTGATGGCAAAAAGGAGGAGCACATTACTTCCATCACCGATACGATTCGAGACATAACTAATGTGGACTTTAAGTATCTACCATTCGGCAAGGCAACCGGAGCCACTATTAATGGTCTCGACGGAACCGGAATTAAGGAAGTTGTTTGTGTGCTAACCATGGCAGAGGATAGTCAGTTCTCCCAAGACGTCATATCTGGCGAACAAGGAAAGCTAGTAATGGAGAATCTTGTGGACGGAACTTACACTTTGGTCTGTCCTGTTGAAGTTCCCGGAGTGGGTGACATCAGCAGTGGACCAGTTGACGGTGATACAATCCTTGCGGAGACAACCTTCACTATCTCCCCAACTAAGAAGACCGCAGATGATCTCGTCTTTACATATCTATCGCCTGGTATGTTGCAGGGTACCACTTTGCTGGAAGGTACTACTATTCCGATCCCCAACGTTGTGGTTATACTCGTTGATCTAAACGGAGGTAAACCAAATCAGACAATGACTACTGGAGAAGACGGAAAATACAAATTTACTGATCTCGAAGATGGTAAATACCAAATCGTGGTTGAAGATGATGGAGTCTACACTCCTGATGGTGCCGATGCACCCGTTGATGTTTCCATCGTTGACGGTCCAGAGAAAACCGGATTGGACCCCGAAGATGACAAGAAATCTGATGGCAAATCAGTACAGGAAATTACACCCACCCAGCGCGCAGTTGATAAGATTGATTTCTTCTATGCGACACCAGGTATTATTTCGGGCACTATCAGTGAAGAGATTCCAGGTGCTAAGAAGGTTGCGATCCCAGACGTCACTTGCGTGCTCAAGGACGGCAGTGGCGCAGTGATTCAGAGTGCCACTAGTAATGACGTTGGATTCTACGAGTTCACTGATGTAGATGATGGTCAGTATACTGTAGAGTGCCCTTACACTATAGACGGTGTAGGAAACATCACTGCTGGACCCGACGATGACGAACCAATTGAAAGCACCACTGTGGTCATTGGTCCCGACGACCGATCCATTGTGAAACAGGATTTCGATTACCTGGCGCCTGGAGAAATCCGCGGAACGGTATTGGAAGACATTACGAATGTGGGCATCGAGAACGTGACCTGCGAACTGGTCAATCTTACGGATGGATCAGTACGCTATGCTGTAACTGACTCGAATGGTGATTACAAATTCTCTGATCTGCCAGATGGAGACTATTCGGTGAAGTGTCCCAAAACCGTTGACGACAACGGTGTCGATATGGTGATCTCTGAAGGTCCAACCGATCTGTTTGGAGAGGATGGTAAGCCTGAAGAAACTGTCACGAAGATCACGCCAGTTACAAGAGTCGTGGATGAAGTTATTTTCAAGTATATTCCAGATCTTGGAACTATTTCGGGTCATACATATGTGAAGGGAACCAATGGAAGCATTCCGGATCAAGTGGTCACTCTCGTCGGTGTCGATGAGGGTAATTCATACGCGAAGGAAGTGAAAACCGACGCTAATGGTCATTACGAATTCACGGACTTGCCTAATGGCGAGTACAAGGTGACAGCACCCGATAACGTTGATACGGTTGGGCCCCTTGTGGACTCACCTGTTGATGATGACGGTGTTCCCCAAGAATCCAACTGGGAAATCACAACAGACATCAAACTGGTGGAAGATGTCGATTTCTTCTATCAAGAAGTCGGTAGCATAAGCGGTTCTACTGTTCAACTTGCGGGTGACGTGCCTATTGCAGGACAGGAATGTACCTTGGAGATGTTGGATGATAGTGGTGTGACGGACACGACGTACGCTACTAGAACTAGTATCACTGCAGATGACGGTTCATACGAGTTCACCGATCTGGAAAATGGCGACTATAAGGTCACCTGCCCGGAAATGATCGAAGTTGAAGACTTCCATGGACCGATTAGCACTGGTATGTGTTTGGACATTGTAGTATGATGGTCGACATTGTCGAGACTTCCAATCTTTATTTTAATTTTCAATGCAGACAATTTTTTTCACTTCCTCACTTCCTTTGCTGTATTGCTCAATTTTCTATTTATAGGTCCGCCAGACTTTGACGGTGTCGCTGAAGAGACTACCACTAAGCTCACTGATGAGAAACGAAATATAGAGGATCTGGACTTCAAGTATGTTCCTTATGGAACTGCAACAGGATCAGTCATTAATGGCCTAGATGACAAACCGATTGCCGGAGTTACGTGTGTATTACAGTTTGTCCAGCCCGACGGGCAAGTATTCGCACGGGAGGTCGAATCTGGTGATGATGGTATGCTGACGATGACAGGCTTGGTAGACGGATCATACACTCTAAGTTGTCCCAAAGAGTTGCCCGAAGGTGACATTAGCAGTGGACCAGAGGACCATGACGATTTGGAAGAGGTTACATCATTCATTATATCGCCTAATAATAAGGATGTCACAGATCTAGATTTTGTCTATTTAGAGCCCGGAACAATTGCCGGACACACTTATTTAGACGGCACAACAATCCCTATTCCTGATGTTACAGTCATCTTAGTCGATCTTGACAATGCAGGTCCGAATAAGACCGTGCAAACTGACTCCAATGGTCGGTATATATTTGAGGAGTTGGAAGACGGTAAATATCTGATCGTTGTTGCGGACGATGGATCATATGTTCCCGCCGGTGAGACTGAAGCTGTGGATGTCTCAATCGTTGACGGCCCTGTGGTGACAACCATCGATCTAGTCGATGATAAGAGAACGGATGGTAAATCCGTGAAGGAGATCAACGAAACTATTCGCGCAGTGGATAACGTCAATTTCGAGTATGCTCCACCAGGAGTTGTTTCCGGTACCATCAGAGAAGACATCTTCGGAAACGACAATGTTGTGATTGAGGGCGTCACGTGTACGCTAAAGGGTATTGATGCCGAGACGCAAGGTCTGGATTATTCAGCAACCAGCAACGAAGATGGTCTATTCGAGTTCACCGGTATAGCTGATGGTGAATTCCTACTGGAGTGCCCCAAGAACGTACCTTCTGTGGGTGACGTCAGTCAGGGGCCTGATGAAGATGAGCCCATCGAATCGACTGTGGTTACTATTTCGCAGGAAGATCGATCTGTCGTCAACCAAGATTTCGAGTATCTGCGACCAGGCAAGATAGGAGGTTCTGTTGTAGAGGAAGGCACTAACACCGGTCTCGAGGGTGTCGAGTGCAAGCTCGTTAATCTCAGCGACGGTACTGAGACTTTCGCCATCACAGATCAGTTCGGTAAGTACAGCTTCGATAATCTTGCTGATGGCCAATACAAGGTTGAATGCCCCACTTCTGTCGTGGATGACAATGGCGTTAATCGAACTATCAGCCAAGGACCGACGGATAAATTGGTCGAGGATGGACTTCCTGAGGAAACCGTGGTAGAAATCACACCAGTTGTGAGAGAAGTGTCCGATGTGATTTTCGCTTACACGCCTATTCCAGGTACAATCTCTGGTCATACCTTTGAGAAATTAACTGGGGACGCCATTCCAAGTCAGGTTGTCCTGTTGGTAGGTATCGATGGAACCGTTTACAGTGATTCAGCAGTCACTGATGAAAATGGTTTCTACGAATTCACGGATCTTCCGGACGGAAAGTACAAGGTCATCGCTCCGAAGGATGTTGCCGCAGTAGGAGGTCTTGTTGACTTCCCTAAGGACAATGATGGTGTACCAAGCGAGTCAACTCGTTCAATCACACCTACTGTGAAGAAACACGAAGATGTCGATTTCTTGTACCAGGAACTTGGTGTCATCTCCGGTTCCACTGTCGAGGAGACTGCTGCTGAAGAACCTATTGAATTCCTCATTTGTACGTTGGATATGCTTGATGCAAACAACCTGGTTGTTGGTACCTTTAGTCAACAATCGGCAGCTACAAAATCTGATGGCTCATACGAATTCACTGGATTGTCAGACGGAAAGTACAAGGTTACCTGCCCGAAGACAGCCGACACCGAAACATTTACAGGTTCCCTAAATTCAGGCAAGTAGTTCTTTTCATATCCTCGTGAACTTTAATTTAATTAGTCAAGTTCCATATTTGAAAAGTGATCAGTAGACGCCTTGGTACCCGAACTAATATTACCTTCTTCATGCATTATATTTATTATTATTGTTTACAGGACCCTTGGACGGAGACGGTAAAGTAGACGAACATTCAACGGCCATCACTGAGCTGGTTCGCAAGGTTGAAGATCTGGATTTCAAGTATTTACCGTACGGAACTGCGACTGGATCCACAATAACTGGAGTAGACGGGTCCGGTATTTCTGACGTTGTTTGTACTTTAACTATGGCCGAGGACAGTACTTTCACAGAGTCTGTAACGTCGGATGCTTTAGGAGGTTTGTCTATGACTGACCTAGTCGATGGTACTTACACTTTGACTTGTCCTGTTGAAGAGCCAGGAGGTCGTGTCATATCTAGTGGTCCTAATGACTCTGATAATATCATCGCTGAGACCACATTCACTATTTCCCCTACCAAGAAGACGGTAGAAAACTTGGTTTTCACCTATCTGCCAACTGGTACCATTGCTGGTACCACTTACTTGGAGGGTACAACTATCCCGATTCCCGGAATCACAGTTACCCTTGTACCATTGGATGTTAGTGACCCTGTGGAGCAGACTACCGTGACAGATGCATTCGGTGATTACCTCTTCACCGATTTGCCCCAAGGAGCGTATTTGGTGGTTGTAGAAGAAATCGGCCAATACGAGAGTGCGGCAGCATCAGCGGATGATCCACCAATCGTTGTTGGGCTTGTTAGCGGTCCGGATGTCAATGAGAACGATCCGGTGGACGACCTGAAAACGGATGCAAAGTCTGTGCAAAAGCTCAGCAGCACCGTAATGGCAATCAACGATGTCGATTTCGAGTATGCACCTCCAGGTATCATTTCTGGTACTATTCGGGAGGATCTTCCCAATGGAGAGACTGTCGTGATTCCTGGAGTCACTTGTTCGCTGAAGGATAGTACTGGCGTGGAAGTACAGACGGCCACTTCTGACAGCAATGGACGTTTCGAATTTACCGATGTCGACACCGGTGAGTACACTCTTGAATGTCCTAAGAATGTCCCAAGTGTGGGAGACGTAAGTAGCGGGCCTGACACTGATGACATTCTGGAATCGACTACGATTGTGATTGAAGGCGAGAATCGTACAATCGTTAAGCAAGATTTCGAGTACAGGAAGCCCGGCACAATCGCTGGTGCCGTGCTCGATGAAACCACCAACCTACCTATCGCCGATGTTGACTGTACGTTGATCGCAGAAGACCTGTCTGAAACGACAGTTGCAACAGATGCAGCTGGTAACTTCATATTCAACGGTCTGAAGGATGGAAAGTACACTGTCCGTTGCCCTCTAGAAGTAGACGATGGTAGAACGATCACTACTGGACCCGCTGATTCACTCGGCGAGGATGGTAAGATCTACGAAACAACAGTCGAGCTTTCTACTACCAACCGGGACGAAGACGATTTGATTTTCAAGTATCTTGAACCCGGATACGTGTCAGGAAAGTGTTATGATACTTCAGATCAATCTCCGATCTCAGACCAGGTTTGTACACTAATTGGCACAAATCCAGTTGGTTACTCAGAAACCTTCAAAACTGGAAGTGATGGTACTTTTGAGTTTACTGATGTGCCCGACGGCTCATACATGCTAGAGTGTCCAACCAGCGCTTCGAAAGACAGGGAATTGACCGAAGGACCGTCGGCGACAGGTTTGATGCAACAAATGCCAATTGCGCTTTCTGCTATGTCCTCACGCACGAGTTTGAACAATGATTTCGGATATTTTGCCGAAGAAATTATTATTGTGCCTTCTCCATCACCAACTAGTCAGCCCTCAGCATCGAGCCAAGCTTCAGCGTCTAGCCAACCTTCACAGTCTAGTGTAGCATCTCAATCGAGTGCTCCGTCACGTACCAGTGTAGCATCTCAATCGAGTGCTCCGTCACGTACCAGTGTCGCTTCACAATCGAGTGCTCCTTCCAGATCCAGCCAGCCTTCGGCTTCCAATCAACCGTCGCGAACTAGTGTGCCTTCGTCGAGTAATTCACCGAATCCCAATGCTGTCGATCCAGTGTTACCTTCTTCGGATCCGACAAGAGCAGCTCAGCCGTCGCAGTCTAGCGTGCCTTCGCAGACTAGTCAGCCCTCGCGAACTAGCCAGGCATCACAGTCGAATGCGCCATCGAGATCGAGCCAGCCCTCAAGCACCAGTGCGGCCTCACAGAGCGCTTCACCAGGTCCATCGCAGTCAAGTGCTCCATCTCAGAGTACGTCACCCACTCAATCGATCGCTGCCTCGAGGTCGAGTCAACCATCGACATCATCGCAGCCTTCGCAGACCAGCCAGCCCTCGCGTTCCGGCTCGCCGGCGATTGGAGTGAGTAACCCACCTGAATCACCGGCGGCGACACGGTCCAGTCAGCCCTCACAGTCCAGTGCGCCCTCGCAGACTAGCCAGCCCTCGGCTTCAGGAACATCTCAGCCATCACAGACGAGTGCTGCATCGCAATCTGGCGCTCCTTCGCTGAGTGGCCAGCCCTCACCGACCAGTCAACCGTCGCAGACGAGTATTGCGTCATCATCGAGTGCCCCATCACAGTCCAGTGCCGCGTCACAGTCTAGCGCACCATCGCAGTCTAGCGCACCCTCGAGATCCAGCCAGCCTTCGGCTTCCAATCAACCGTCGCGAACTAGTGTGCCTTCGTCGAGTAATTCACCGAATCCCAATGCTGTCGATCCAGTGTTACCTTCTTCGGATCCGACAAGAGCAGCTCAGCCGTCGCAGTCTAGCGTGCCTTCGCAGACTAGTCAGCCCTCGCGAACTAGCCAGGCATCCCGATCTAATGCTCCGTCAGCGTCGAGTCAACCGTCACAGACTAGCCAGCCAACTCGGTCATCTGACCCATCGAGCTCGGCTCAAGCGTCGCCAACTAGCCAGCCGTCGCAAACTAGTGTGGCTTCACAGTCTAGTGCCGCGTCGCCCGGTGCCGATGTCGTGCCTGCTTCTCCCGCTGCTACTCGTAGTTCTCAGCCGTCGCAGTCCAGTGCTGCGTCACAGTCATCAGCAGCTTCGCTGTCTGCTGCCGCTAGCCCGTCTTCAGCTGCCTCTCGATCGATTGTACCGTCGACGTCTAATCAACCTTCGCAGACGAGCCTGCCATCGCAATCAGGATCTCCTGCCCCAGGCGTTTCTTTCGTACCAGCGTCGCCGGCGGCTACCAGGAGTTCTCAGCCATCACAGTCGAGTGCGGTGACTCCCCAGGCTTCTGTTTCAAGTGCACCTTCTACATCGAATCAACCTTCGCAGACTAGCCAGCCTTCACAGACAGGTTCGCCCGCGCCAGGTGTTACTATCGTACCAGAGTCGCCTGCGTCCACCAGAAGCTCTCAGCCGTCACAGTCTAGTGCTCCATCGCAATCGCCGTCCAGCCAGCCGTCTTTGAGTAGTCAACCTTCACAGACTGCCTTGTCGACTGTTGTACCAGATTCGACGGCGCCTAGTAGAACTGCCCAGCCATCTCTGACTAGTCAACCTTCGCCAACGAGCGATCCATCACGAAGCAGTGATCCTTCGCGATCTAGCCAGCCCTCGCAGACTAGCCAACCTTCTCAATCAGGTTCGCCAGCGCCAGGTACTTCGTTTGTGCCTGCGTCACCGATAGCTACCAGGGATCCACAGCCTTCGCAAACATCTGTACCAACTGCGCAGCCCACGAGAGATGCACAACCGTCGAGCTCAACTGCTCCATCGCAAACGAGTTTGGCTTCGCAGTCGAGTGCGCCCTCCGTTTCAAATCAACCGTCGCAGACTAGTGTGCCATCGCAGTCAGTA